CCCACGAGATCATCCATTAGAATTGGCATTTTTAGTAGGATTTTGTTGAATCATACCTTGAGGTACATTTACAGACACACTAGGAGTAACAAGTTATTGCTTGTACTTGTCCAGCTGTGCTTATTGTACATACAAAAGTTCCTTCACATTTTAGATATTCGTAAGCTCCCCCTAATTGTATATCACCATAATAAAATGGGTTGTGCTCTTCAATTAACCATTGGATAATAACACCAATTTGTTCTCTCTCAAAGATTGAATCACATATAGTAAGAAGTGAATTTGCAATAGCACAAATGTGAAGCATATACTCATAAATTGATCGATTACCTTTCGTACTCGTCTTCAGCTCTAACCTTAGTTGATGAACTCAAGCATTCATTTGTGAATTTTAGTGTTTTTACACCTTGTCCTAGACCTCATAGGTATGTTTGCAGGAAAACACTTGAGGTATAACTTTTTCACAAATCGTAGAAAACAACCATGTGAATAATGTTTGATCTTGAACAATCCACGACTCACGACTTTTAGAGATTATGTTGGCAATTTGACCATGCTCAGTTTTAAACATTGATGTTCACAACAAGAAGTTGTTATCTTGCAGCTTGATGGACAACTTTGGTGCAAATGTAACGCAAGTTGAGTGTTGGTGACTTGCAAAGTTTGCACCGCCTGAGGCGATGATTGCACTCCAAGATGAGTGTTTAATGGTGATTGTTCTAGATCTACCATTGATGTTTCTCTGAAACTCTCAACTATAGAAATGTCTTATACACAATTGAACTAAAATACATCTTCTTTGAAGCTTACGCGATCCATCATAATTTCACTTACGCTTGTATCTTCAACAATAACGATGATTAACAAGATGTTGAAGATGATTATGTAGCATAATTTATGTCCATTTTAAACTCTCATAGCAAGTTAGAAAGGAACACTTATTCATTGAGATGGATGAAGAGTGATATACAAGATTTTCTTGCTTTGTATTGTGCTTTGCACTATGATTTTGTTAACCATGCATTACACGAGTGATCCTTCTTATACTAGTTGTGTCTATTAATTAATTTTAACTTATGTTATTAGTTACATGCCATAATTCTAACTATACTAATTAACTGTTTAACTAACATTTATAATATAGTATTATTTAATAATTTAATGTTTTGTAGCATATTAATAAACTAAAATTTGAATAAATTGTACAAATTCATTTAATGATCTTTAATGCCTCTAATAATATCTTAGTTAGAGAAAATCTATCAAATAATATATATATATATATATATATATATATATATATATATATATATATATATATATATATATATATATATATATATATATATATATATATATATATATATATATATATATATATATATATATATATATATATATATATATATATATATATATATATATATATTTATTAAAGTATCCTATCATGTCTCATAATATATTTAGCCTTGTCACAATTAATTTAAAAATATCAGTGTGATTTAAAATATTTTACATCCTCATTGTATATTTTTTCCCTCAATGAAATACTAATGATTTTACAACAAAACTACAACAACGATTATAACTAGTAATACTCATGTGCAATGTACAAATATGTTTTATTTAAATTATCAATAATTATTATAATATTAAGAATTATTAAACAATAATAAAATTAAAGAAAATACTCTTTCTTACAAGAATAAGGGTAGCCATAGATCTACATAGTTAACCTTGATTTCACTAAAACATAATGAAAAATTTAATTCTTTTATAAATGATCCACATGATCATTTATTGTCTTTCGTATTCAAATCCATTGTAAAATATAGCGACGTTCTAGAATTAAAACATATGTAGAGGTAGTAGTTGTCATTGAAAAATAAAATAAAATAAAAATTAAGAAAGGAAGTAAAATGAAGGAGATAAATTCACCACTACTTGAGATAGTAACCTACTATAATTTAAAATACACAACAAAAGACATACGAAGAGAAAATAGAAGTTATAGATTTGAATAAATAAGAAAAATAAAAAGAATAAAAGATTTAATGTTAAATAAAAATTAAAATAAAATGGTTATTAGTGATTACTTAAAATATGATTAATTTTATTTGCAAAATCATTAGTTAGTGGGATAACTATCAAAGAAATAATAATTTAATAATAAAAAAGACAATAGAATAACTTATAGTAAATAAAGCAATAAATATATACATAAAATAATTACAAAAATAATCTCCATTTTAGTGCCAAAAATTATTAAGTGACTTAAATGTTTGATTTAATTACAGTTTGATCTCTCTATTTTATTTGATTCACAAAATTAATTTTTATATTTTAAATTTAAATAATTTTAGTCTTCTATTTTAAATTTATATAGTTTTAATTCCCACTATATATGTGTACTTAAAATTGATGATTTTTATTTTATTTTTTAAATGACAAATTCTTTGTAGATAAAAAATAAGTTAATAAAATAAAAATTTCATCAATTTTTATGAAAAGAACGTGAGAGAATAATTAAAATTATTTAAATTTAAAATAGAAAGATAAAAAATATTTAAATTTAAAATAGAGAGGCTAATTTTGTGAATCATACAAAATTAAGAGACTAAAACTATAATTTAACTTAACAATATTTATGTATGATTACTTAAAATATATAATTATTTTTTATATGTAAAAATATTAGTTAGTGGGATGATTATCAAAAAATAAAAATTTAATAACTAAAAAAGATAATGAAATGCATTATAATAAATAAACAAATAAATAAATACATAGAAAAAATTATAAAAATATCCTCTATTTTGACACTAAAAATTATTAAGTGACTGAATAACTTATATATATATATAAATAAGGAAAATCATAGATGTACCCATCTAGGGCCCTTTGATTTTTTTTTTTAGTATGTGACCTATTTTTAATGAGAAAGGAAAAAGAGAGAATAAAATAATAAAAATTGATATTATCGAATTGTATTATACAAACTGAATTATAAATTATGTTTATTTGTATATAACTAACTTGTACACTAAGTAGATTAACAAAGCCTAATTAGATTTGAGTTTAGATTATTCTACTTGAATTATATCTTATATCTTAACGTACCTCCTATAATTCAAATTGTCGAACACACATTAATCCTAATCGATCTAAACTATTCCTAATTTCTTTCTTAAATTTAGAAATATGTCGATCTTCAATCTTTTGGTAAAAATATCAACCAATTGTGCTTCACTTGAACAATGTCTTACTTCAAGTTCATCTCGGTTTACCTTCCCCCTTAAGAAGTGAAATTTAGCTTCGATATGTTTACTCCTTCCCCGCAGAACGCAATTCTTTGCAAGATTAATGACTGACTTGTTGTTGATATGTAACATTAGAGGCTTATTTGCTTCGACCTTCATTTCTTCAAGCACATATCTGACTCAAATCGCTTGACACGCAATATATAATCATATTATATATTCAGCCTCATACGATGATAATGCCACTACAAGTTACTTTCTCGAGCACCATGAGATTGGGACACCAAATATTTAAATGAAATAACTGATTGTGCTTATTCAGTATTTCTTATCTCCATACCAATGAGCATATGAATAACAAGTAAATGTAGGTTCTTTGTTTTCAGAATTTCGTCAAAATAGAATTTCACAGTCTATCGATCCTTTTAGATATTTCAGGATTTTTCTTGCAACTTTCATGTACGACACCCTTGATTCACTCATATATTTGCTCACTAATTCAACTGTGAAATCTATATTGTTAGACACATACCTCAATCATAATTTCTATTTCGATTGATAAAAATTGTTAAGTGATTTAAGAATTTATATAAAATATTAATTAGTGCAATTCAATTGATAATTAACATAATTGTAAAAGTGCTAATTCAAAAAAGACATTTCAATATTTCATCATTCATTTTTAAGAAACTACATTAAACCGATATAAAAAAAAGTCCTTTTTATATTATAATATAATGAATGATATTCTGTTTCAAAAAAAAAAGAAAGAAGATATTCTCTTAGTAAGAATAACAGATTTTCTTAGCAATATAATAAATGCCAACATGCATAATTTTTATTTCGGTTTTAAATAAACAAGAAATATAATAATAATATTATAATACTCTTTATGATGTATTTTAGTTTTAATACAGAAAAACGATTATTTTATAATAATGATAATATGGTTTCCAATAATATCTTTTTATTTTTGGCAAAAGTTTCCAATAATATCTTAGTTAGAAGAAATCTATCAAATACTGTATCAATCAAATAAATAATATAAAAAAAGAGAGACACCTTCCAGTCTTCTATCACATTATGAATTTTGTTTAATACTTATCCTCAAACTTTTCAGTATAAGATAGAGTTTGAAAAGATACACAGAAATTATTTAAAATTTTGAGTTTGAAAATAGTGTACATTATAAAATATTTGACACAGTGACACCGCATCACAACTCTTAAAAAATATTTTATATATAATTTTAAAATAAAGTTAAATTTTTATATATAAATTAGCGGTTATAATTTTATTGATATAAACTATTTTATATTATCAGTATATTTTTATTAAATTCTAAAATTTTTAAATAAAAATAAAATAAAAATAAATTTTAATTGATATACTCAATAATATAAAACAATTTATATCGTGGAGTATTAGTTAATTTAACCGTCAAATTTTTATAATTATTTGACTTTTATTTTAATTAATTTAAAAATATTAAATATAAGTGGTTGTGTGTAAAAGAAATTTACGCTTACCAATTAACCTCATAAAAAATGTATTGAATATTCATGACAAGTGTGTTAACCACATGACATAATTTGGATTGGATATTCAGTATATATACCAAATTCCAAAATCTCTTTCATTTTCATAGGAAGGATTTTCTAATTCCACTAATTTCACTTCTCTCTTTTAAGCCATTTTTGACTTACCTACCTTCGTTCTTCACGCTCTCGATCCATCATCATGGGTAAACAAACCGTTTCAAATCTATCACTTTTTCTTCATCTTAACGCCGGATTCAAAATTTTCAATTGATTTGTTTATTTATTTATTTGTTTTCAGCATCTCAAAATCCATTCAACAGGATATTGAAGACGTTACAGAAGCCCAGTGATGGCGGTGAATTCGGAAAGTACTACAGTTTGCCAGCTCTCAACGATTCCAGAATCGGTGACTCACTCACTCTTTGGATTTCTTATTGTAATTTTGATAATGTGAAAATGAATCTTGATTTTGAATTTTCTGTTTTGTTTTCAGATGCGCTTCCTTACTCGATTAGGATACTTTTGGAATCTGCGATTCGTAACTGTGATGAGTTTCAAGTTAAGGCTGATGATGTGGAGAAAATTATCGATTGGAAGAATACATCTCCTAAACAGGTGGAAATTCCGTTCAAGCCTGCTAGAGTGCTCTTGCAGGTGAGTAGTGTTGATACTGACACATAAATATAATTAAATGTAATCACAAGTGTCGGTGTCCAGACACACATTTGTTGTATTCATTGTGCTTTTGATTTCATTATCAGGATTTTACTGGAGTGCCTGCTGTTGTTGACCTTGCCTGTATGAGGGATGCAATGAACAGGCTTGGTGGTGATTCGAATAAAATTAATCCATTGGTAAGATGGATACTATTGCATATTAGTGGATTTGAGATTTGTATTGTGTTTTCTTTTTGATTTTTTATTTATTGTGCGTGTAGTGAAGTTTGAATTGGTTATGTTTAGGTACCGGTGGATCTTGTCATTGATCACTCTGTTCAGGTGGATGTAGCGCGGTCAGAAAATGCTGTTCAGGCAAATATGGAACTTGAATTTCAGAGGAACAAGGAGAGATTCGGTTTCCTCAAATGGGGTTCAAATGCTTTCAATAACATGCTTGTTGTTCCTCCTGGATCAGGAATTGTCCATCAGGTTATTGTATCATTCAGTAATTCAAGTGTGTGTGCGTGCATGTTTCTTTATATGGATGTGTAATATGTGATCTGATTCTATAGTTCTTACATGTAACAAAATCTTTATCCAGTAATTGAAGTTTGTCTTCTGAATCAAGTTTTGCAAATTCAACTCTTGCAGGTTAATTTAGAATACCTTGGTAGAGTTGTGTTCAACACAAATGGTGTGCTTTATCCTGACAGTGTTGTTGGAACTGATTCACACACAACTATGATAGATGGTTTGGGTGTTGCTGGGTGGGGAGTTGGTGGAATTGAAGCTGAAGCTGCAATGCTTGGGCAGGTAAAAATAATGTGTTACTGAGTTCTTTTCCGAATTAGAGAACTGAATTTATTCGTTGAATTAGTACGTCTGGAAGTTTTCAACTTTATTTTCTACTAATTAGTTTACTATTAGAAATGCATTTGTTATTCATAATAATAAATTTATACTTTTGCAGTTTTGGCCTATTATTAGAAAGGGGGTGTCGTCTCTTTTGTTCACAAAAAAAATGTTATTAGAAATAATTGTTTTCCTTTGCAGCCCATGAGCATGGTCCTACCGGGTGTGGTTGGGTTCAAATTATTAGGAAAACTGCGAAGTGGTGTCACAGCTACTGACTTGGTGTTGACTGTTACTCAAATGCTAAGAAAGCATGGGGTTGTTGGCAAGTTTGTGGAGTTTTATGGTGAATACTAATTTATGTGTGATGACATATTTCTTTCTTTGTAGCACCACGTTCCTAGCTGATTAATCTTTCCTCAGGTAATAAGTGTGTTTAACTTCCTTTATACAGGGCAAGGCATGAGTGAACTGCCTTTGGCAGATCGTGCCACCATTGCAAACATGTCTCCTGAGTATGGTGCAACAATGGGATTCTTTCCTGTGGATCATGTCACTTTGCAATATTTGAAACTGACTGGCAGGAGCGATGAAACTGTACGTCAAGTCAACACTTGTTTCATGATATTTAATGTTGCCTGCATGTTCTTACACGTCTTTCTTGCAGGTTGCTATGATAGAATCCTATTTACGAGCTAATAAGATGTTTGTGGACTATAGTGAGGTATACTATGCATGTACAGCTTTTGGATGGTTATATTTGACATGACTGAAAGAACATGTCTCACTGAGAGTTTGCTTTGTTGCATTGCAGCCCCAAGTGGAGAGAGTGTACTCATCCTATTTGGAGCTGAATCTTGAGGATGTTGAACCATGTGTCTCAGGTCCAAAAAGGTAACGGGTCTTCATGTTTTCCACTTAAAAGTAAGAATGAAGAAAAATTGTACCGTGCCTTTTTTTTTTTTGCACTACTAAACATATATTCCGTTGTTAAAATATTTTACATAAGATTATCACGGTTTAAAGTTTTACATAACCACCACTAACTCTGAAATGTTATTGAAGTTTTACAAATTTGTTAAAACTGTCTGTTCCTTCCTACCCTTGACCCTTGCTGGCTTGTTCAATCACATATTTTTGAGTAAAATGAAGAACACATTTATTCAGCTTAGCTGATATGAAATTTAAATTTGACTATAAAAATTCTATAAGCACCTTGTTCAATTAACAAAAAATATGTTACATTTGACGATATTGTGGAGTTAGGTTAGGGTTTTATATGGAGTGTC